CTGCGCAACATGTCGCCGGCAGAGCAATTGAACATTCGTTCGTACAAAACCTCGTCCGCTCCAGCCCTCGACGCTTGGCGCCACCTGAACGGCGTGTATCAGCCGAAGGACTCCGTTTCTACGAGCTGGCTGCTCCAGCAGCTACAGGAGACTAAAATGGCCCCAGGGGAGAAGGCCAACAGCTACATTAATCGCTGTCGGAGTTTTCCCGATCAGCTTGCGAAATTGGGAAGCTCGAGATCAGAGGAGATTTTTGTCATCATCGTGCTTCAAGGGCTCAGCCTAGAGTGGCGGCCCTGCAAGGCGCTTCTCCGACAGCAGGGGGTCATCTCGGAGGCCGCCCTTTGCGCCGCCCTTCTCGTCGAGAAAAACGGGATATGGATCAGCAGCGACCAGCGCCACGACGAGAACGAGAACGGCTCGCCTTCTACGCCGACAACACCGAAGAGCGACGGCCGCGGCGCCTCTACTGCAAGATTTGCAGAAGGGCATTTGGAAGATCGATGTAAATCCCGATCTCGCCCTCGACAGACCAATCCGAGCAACTGGTCCGGCCGACAAGACGCACGAGGCGACGTGCGTCCAGCCCAAGCATATCAACCCCGCGCGCGCAACCTGAACCCAGCGGTTCAGCATCAGCAGCAGCAGCCGTCATTGTCTGCCCCAGTACGCAACGTCGTGAGAAACATGGCCATGACGGGCGAGTCGCGTCGTCGCCGCGTGCGCTCACCATCACCTGAGCCAGCACCGCACCCCATTGGCGCATTCACCAACAACAACCCCTTCAGTCCGTGCCACGATTTCACCGACGACGACGACCAGGACTGGAATCTTCCAGTCCCGCTGCTTGAAAGTCCCCCGCACATACCTGATATGCGGGCGGCATCACTCGATTGGCTCTCGTGCGAGCAGTTTCTTAAATTTGACACACCTCACATCGTCACGCCGTGACTGGCGCTGCTCGCACGTGTCGACAGGAAGCGCTACAACACCTGGCACCTGGACAGCTGCTGCGGCCAGCACATGGTGGGCTCGGAGCGTTACATATCCAACGCCGTCGCCACGCCCACGGTCACCTACGTCACAGTGGCGAACAACACGCGCCTGCGCGCAAGCGCGCAAGGCATCGTCGTGCTCAAGGCACGGGGAAGCCGCACGCACATCACACTTAACGATGTGCTGATCGTCCAGAACCTGCGCTTCAACCTGCTTTCCGCCGCCCAACTCATGGATTGCGGCGTTGACCTCAGCACGGACCGCGAGACACATGATATCCTACTGCACTACGAATCAAGGACCTTCCCCCGCAGCCAGATCAGAAGAGCGCACCCTGAAAATGGAGTATACATCTTGGACTTCGATATTCCTGACTGTAGCGATCTCGTTCCACTGCGCTTCGAGCACATTCACCGCAGGAATTGGAAGCATCCTGACGAAAGACCGTGGGTGCCGCATCACCCTCACCCGCGTGAAGTGGCGCTGCATGACCCTGACCTAGATGGCATCTGCAGGGATTGTCACACACCCACAGCGTTAACGAGCACGATTGCCGGCCGTGGACTTGCCGCCATCGCCGAAGCTGAGCAACATGCACCCCCAGAGGTAGGGATGTCACAGCTGGATATCGAAATTGCCATGCGCGGCGTGTTCGGCACACCAAAACACCCTCTCATTGGACCCCCCTCGCAGCATCTCCAAGGCATGCTGCGCGGCACTTGCAGCGGCACCTCCAATGCGCACAACATGCCGCGACCCTACACATACGAGAAATTCTTGGAAATTTACTCTCACCGGCGCGACTCGATGAAGAAGCTCACCATGCAGCAGGAAGAAGAACCAGCGCGCCGCGAAGCTGATGATCTTCGCCAACAGAGCCTCGCCGAAGCACGCGGGACATTCGACTGCGGTGCATGGGGAGCCGAAGAAGAGGAGAGCGCCTCCAATGAAGGGGGGTGGGGAAGCGCTGGCGGATGGGGAACGAGTGACACCGGCGGCTGGGGCAACAGCGGCGGAACCTGGGCCAACGTAAGTGGCGGTTGGGGAGCTGCAACTGGCGACGAAGGAAGCGGCTGGGGGACTTCCAGCGAAGAACAAAGGGGGGAGAAGAAGAAGCAGAGGAAGCAGAGGCAACACCTGCAGTTGTTCCCCTTGGTCGCCCCCCGTGCCATGCTCCACCCGCACTACCTCCTCCCGACAATCCGCCGCATCGCGATCCCTGGGACACCATCGATTGGGGCAACGAACCGTCAACCACGCGCCGTACTATTTACGGACCTGCTCCTGAGCCGCGTGAACCCACCTTCGTCCCTGGAACCATCCCTGGGACCGATATCTCCCTCTCTGAAATTCGCGACAGAAAGTTCCTGGCGAAAGTGTTAACTACCGCCAACGACGAAGACGAAGCAGCAGAAGAATCTGCAGAACCTACTTCCGTACCTGATGAAGACCTCGAAGAAGCTCGCGCGCGCTACATGCGCACCTCCGGCTTTCGCGCTGACGATGCACTCTGGCACCAGCGCCTCGGACACCCTTCACGCGCGACGCTGAAAAACTGCATCGACGCGAGAGTTTTCGTTCCTGGGGCGCTCCTGCGCTCATATGGCACCGAAGTGAGAGGCGCAACACATCCGCGCAACTGCACCGTCTGCCCCGAAGCCGCGCTAAGCCACCAGCCGTTCCCGCTGCTCGAACCTAGGACAAAATGTTACCCCAAGCTACACAAGGTGTACAGTGACTTCTTGAACGTGGGGCACTGCGGAGTCAACGACGAAATGTACACGCTTACCTTCATCAATGCCGGAACGTGCGTGTCGGTCGTGAACGTGGAATCGCGCAGCGGAGCATACGAGGTATTTCGCCTCTGGCTGGCGCACGCGCAGCGGCAGTCCAAGGAGAAGCTGAAAATCTGGCAATCTGACGGCGCGGCAGAATTCAGGAGCAAGGAGATGCAGGACTATCTGGCGCAAAAGGGGATCGAGCACCACATTTCTCTCCCCTATACGCACCAACAGCAAGGCGTAGCCGAGCGGACTAATCGCAGACGAAAGTGCAAGCGCTGATGAAGCAATCAAAGCTGCCGCCGATCTACTGGACCTACGCGATGCACCACGCCGTGCGGGTGCACAACCTGCTGTCAACCACCGCCATCACCGGCAACCTGTCCCCACTCGTGAAGTGGACCGGGACTAAGGGGGACACATCCATGCTCCGCGTGTGGGGGTGCATGGTGCAATACCGCCCGCCGACTTCAACCATCGGCAAGTTCGCCAGCCGCGCGCGATGGGGCATTCACCTCGTCATCCACGAGCATAAGGCGTGGATTATCCTGTATCTTCTCAGTGAAAAGACGGCCCACGCACGTGACGTCATTTCTACGAGCGCCTCTTCCTCGAACAGTTCCGTCATGACGAGGAAACAAACGCGAATCGCGTTTACGCGAATGACGGACACAGCTACACAACGCCCGAAGACGAATCCTGGAACATGATACCAGGGGCGAGTTCACGAGGGGAGATCGTCACAGCAGCGACAACGATGACGACGATCCCTCTGGAGGAGGAACGGGTGGATCGGGCGGAAGCGGCAGAGCCGCAACGCCACCAGCACCACCTGAGCCAGAGAGCGATGACAATGACGTGCAGGGAGTCGTCCCTCAGCATCGCCACGGCAACACCGTCTCTGGGCTGCAGCTGCTTGGGCTCCACATCGCAACCTCGAAGGCGCCACGTGTCATCGAGCCACGAAACCCTCGCCAAGCCCTCAGTGGACCACACAGCAAGGAGTGGCGCGAGGCAATGGACGCAGAGATTAAAGCGCTCGAATCTCGAGACACCTGGGTGTTAGTCGACCGCGCAGCGATTAAAGGCGCGAGGGTCCTCTCCGCGTGAAGATCGCAGCAGACGGAACGATCGAGCGCTTCAAGGCGCGATGGGTGGTGCGCGGATACGACCAGAGGCACGGCATCGATTTCGACCAGACATTCTCGCCGGTTAGCCGCCACACCTCCGTCCGAATCCTGCTCGCCATCGCAGCTGCCAGACACCTGCCTCTGCGCCAAATCGATGTGAAAAAACGTGTTTTTGTACGCGTTAGTACATGCAGTGATCTACGTGGAGCAGCCGCATACGTACGGTAAAGAGGACTCGCGCGTATGCCAGCCGCGCAAGTCCCTTTACGAGATCAAGCAAGCACCGAGGCTCTGGCAGCAGTATCTGCACAACATCCTGCTTGAAATCGGGTTCAAGCAGATGCCGCACGATCCTGGGATGTACCGCCGCAATTTCCGCGGATTATACATCCTGCTCACAGTCTACGTCGACGACCTCCTTTACACGAGGTCAAGCAACGAACTACTAGAACACTTCGAGAGGAGTCTGGCGGGGAGCGTCGATATCACCTGCAACTACGAGGTGAAGCAGTTCTTAGGCCTCAACATCTCCTACGCGCCAGAAGCTATCCACCTCTCAGCGGCTAAGTATGCAGAGGAGTTAGGGAAGCGGTTCAACATTTCATCTGCATCGCTCTCCACTCCGTACTGAACTCCGGGACCGACCGAACCACAAGCCTGACAACAAAGCCCTATTCCCCGCTAAAATTCAGACTTATCAGCAGCAGTTGGGATGTCTGCTCTTCGCCTCTGTCACATGCATACTCGTCCTTTCCTACATCGCGAGCCAGTTAGCCCATCGTGCGATGATGACAAGAAACCGGCAGAAACTCTGACGAGCAAAACCGTTGAGAGGAGTGAGCCGGAAGTCTGAGCACATCACATTTAAGTAGTAATCCAGTAATAGCCTTAGCCCATTGCTCGTGATGCAGGACCGCTGAGGAAACTTCAGGGTCATCTTGATATATCGATGGAAATATAAGTTGGAAATATGAGAAGATATAGTTAATATGAACCAGCAAAACACTACTTTCGTGTCTAAGGAGAGTGAACAGAGATGGAGGACTGGTCAAAAGTATCTATAGCTTTCCCGCCTGGCGCAGCTTTTGCCGCCATGGCGTTTTCGAACTTCGTCCTCACGGTAGTAGGAATCGGCGCGGCGGTTCTGTTGCTCAAAGGAGACGTCAAGAGGACGGCGACGACGCTCAGGCGGAACGTGAGGCAGATGAGAGTGTGGCTGGAAGAGGAAGAAGCGGCCGTTAAGAAGTCAGTCGCTTCGATCCACTGCTTAGGTTTCATGTCGCCACGCGCTTGTGCAACGCTAGGCCTTCAATTGCTTCGCTCGCTTGTTAGTCGCTTCGCTCGCTCGGCTCTGTTCTCCGTCGCACCCGTGCGCTGCACGCTGTGCCCTCGGATGGTGCCCGATCCAACCTCCTCACTCGCGCCGCGTTGTGTTTTCTTTCGTAAGGCCACGTCACGTCGCTGACGGCTCGTCGCTCCCCTGATTCCACCCGATTCCATTTCACTGAATTCGCAGGTCGTTAAACGACACACCAAAGCAGATTGAGCGGGAGGGAAAAGAGGCGGTTACTAGCAAGAGCGACGGGAAGGGCGATCGGAGCTAGTCAGCGCCGTGGAATCCGCTCGTCACCACCACCGGTACGCGCACGGCAGCACCAGACAGACACTGACGGCGCCACAACACCAGACAGACACTGACGGCGCCACAACACCAGACAGACACTGACGGCGCCACAGCACCTGACAGGCATTGACGGCGAACAATCGATGAAATTCACTGTGTTCTCGTCGTCCTTCCACCGGCACTGGCACCGCGCCACGTCATCAGACAGAACAATGCAGGCACGACAGGTTAGACAACTCAAAGAAACCAGTCACGGGCAAGACCAGTGCAAAGCGAACAGCGAGATTCCTGTGTGCTCGTCGCCCTTCCTCGGGTACCCGCACTGCGCCACGTCACTTTTGAGACGCCTCAACATTAGTCTCTCTCTATACCCACGGTTTTTCTGAGGCGCGTCAGCGATCGGTAAGGTTCACTGTGCGCTCGTCGCTCGTCGCTCTCACTGGCAGAGCAACGGTCACGCGCATGGCTGACGGGAAAGTGGATTGCAGCTAGTCGGGGTGCCCATGACTTTGACAACTCCCAGAAACCGCTCACGGGCAACACTAGTGCAAAGCGAACGCTGACATTCACTGTGTGCGCGCAATTCTCCTGAGGGCCGAATGGAAGATGCTGCTTATGCGGTGATGTCCACGAGTCGCGCTCGCACCATCTTGGCTCAGCTCATCGCTTCGCAGGCAGCAGTTTATGAAGATGAAACGCTTAGGCAGCAGGAACGACACAGGAAAACGTGAAAATTGTAGATAAAGTAGATGCTGCTTATGCAGTCATTTCCGTGAGCCGCGCTCGCACGATTGTGCTTGGGTTTACGTGTGAGAATGATCACGTGTGACTTCACGAGCTCATCTGCTCGGCTGGTCTGGTGTTGCAGGGCGTTTTTGAGGATCCTCAGGAACCCGATTGTGCTCACGAGCTCACTTGTACTCCTGGGGATTCTGCACATATTTGTGAGACGCCTCAAAATCGTATTTGAGGCGTAGCTCGACGTCTCAAAGCAAAGAGGTTCAGAAGAGCTACATCCTCTTCTTTCATCTTCCTTTCCCCCTTTCCCCAACCCCCCGACACTCCCCCCCTTTTCTACCTCCTCCTCCCCCTCCTCCTCCCCCTTCCTTTCTCCTGCATCCATACTGCTTTTTCACCTGCATCCATTCTCAAAGTGCCTATCATGGCTGGTTTTTACTGAAGTTTCCAAAGTATGAATTTTAGGTCCTTTTTATTGCCCTAAATGGTTAACGTGTGCTTTTGACTTAATCCTCATGTGTCCCCCTCGTTCCACATCCCCTCATCCCCTTTCCGTTGTTTCAGGGATACGGTTTTCCTTTCTTTCTTCCTTGAAGGTTTAATTCAAGGGGGGACGGGCGAAGCTGCTAATTCTGAGACAGGGAATGTGAGAAAATCTGTTCCTCAGCTGCAATTTATGCAATGTTCCGTGCGTCAGCTCTAGCGCTGCTTTAGTGAAACGGACAGGAGAGAAACAACGGTATGAATTCGCTCAGCAACAATTGAAGTGTGTTCCTAGATAGCTTGGAGGAACACGGAACAAATTAGCATGCACCTTACTGTAATTGCCTTGGCTGGAAACCCCCACCTTTGTATCTCGTAGGTATTATCAAGCTTTGTTTCCGCTGGAGACATTTTACGGTATGTACTGTGTTCGTTTTACCGTACAAGGTCCTGATGGTGCCATATAGCACGGTATGCTACAGTGAGTTTTCCCTTTCCTGTAATGCGGTATGCTCTGCATTGCGGTGCAATGTTGTTGAACCATACCGTATATATGAATGGCTACCTACCGGTAGTTCCTAATGTTTCTCTCATCCATGGAACTGTCAAACATGTTAGAATGGACTATGCTACTAACTGAAGCTTTAGCAGTCTTAGAACGTACTCCTAAAGCCTAGGAATCTTAGGAGCCCACTTGGGCATGAACCATGCTAGAACCAAAGTGGTTTCCAAGTCTCAGAAACAGAATACAGCGGAATGAGTAGCATTGATTGGGTTGGGGTACATATGCCTAACCCTAACTGTTTGTACCCCATATAGCATGACCCACAATAGGCTATAACATTTGACACACCCCCATAGCCTAAGTGGGGAATGCCAAGCAACAAGAAACGCAACCTAAGGTCACAAGACCAGTCACAAACAAAAGACAAAACAAGCTCAGGGTGGATCACAACGTCACCACACAGTCTGAGCGCAAACAGCGGCCACAAGGCCAGTTCAAGAGTGTATATGCAAATATATGCAGTACAAGCAAAGACAAGAGACAAGCACTCACTACTGCAGTCTACTCGACCCAGTCTCAACGAGGCCCAACTGCAGACAGAACCGGCGGTGGTCACAAGGCTGAAGAGCCTTGGTGAAGATGTCTGCAGTGTTGGCCTCGGAGGCCACGAAGATTTGACGAGCCTGCCCGCGTCTCTGCAACTCTCGAAGGAGGAAGTACCTGACGTCGATGTGCTTCACTCTGCTCTCCAGTCGAGGCTCACGACACAGGAGAATCATCGCCCTGTTGTCAGCAAACAGGGTCGGTGCAGAGCTCGGCCGCTCACCAAGGTCAGTGAGCAGAAAGGTCAACCAGCGTAGCTCCTGAGCAGCAAGGGCCCCAGCGTAGATCTCGGCCTCTGCGGTAGAAGTCGCAACCGAGGAGGACCGAGTAGACCTCCACGAAACAGCTCCAGAACCCAGGCTGAAACAGTAACCCTGCGTAGACCTCTGAGTCTCAACGTCGTCGGCGTAGGAGGAGTCGCAGTGACCGGTGAGTACAACTGGCTGTGTCCCTCCAAGTACAAGCCCCATGCATGAAGTCGCGCCACGGTACTTCGCCACCCTCTTAGCCGCCGCCCAGTGAACAGGACGGTGTCTCCCAGTCGCAACAAAGCGAGACAGGATGCTAAGAGGGAAGGCGAGGTCCGGGCGAGTGCACGTCATCAGGTACATGAGGCAGCCCACCAGCTCTGCGTAGGGACCACTGGGCTCGAACGGCTCGTCAGGAAAAGGCCCAGTGAGTCTGTGGTCTACAGCAAGAGGAGTGGGGGCAGGAGAAGAGTCCTGAAGCCCGAACCGCTGAAGGACCTGCTGCACCATGTGTGACTGAGTCAGAGTGATGGTGCGAGCGGCTCTGTCCCTGGAGATCTGCAGGCCAAGGTAGCGGCGCAGTTCCCCAAGGTCAGTGCAGGTGTGTCTCTTCTGCAGTTCGGACTTCACCTCCGCCAGTGCAGCTGTGTCGGCTGTGGCAAAAACCAAGTCGTCAACGTAGACCAGAACGAAGAAAGGTGTGCGCCCACGACGAACAAACAGCGACGGGTCGGCAGAAGACGGCTCAAACCCGAGGTCGGAGAGAGTAGAGCGGAGAGTGTCGTGCCACTCACGGGGTGCCTGGCGGAGACCGTAGACCGGTCGTCTGAGGCTCCACTGGGTCCCAGGCGGGAAAGTGCCAGTGAAGCCCGGAGGACGACGCAGCCAGATCTCCTCGTGTAGGTGGCCCTGGAGGAAGGCAGTGGAGAAGTCAAGAGAGTGAAGCTCGTAGTCTCTCTGCGCTGCTACGTGCAGTAACACCCGAAGAGTGGTCATCTTCGGGGTGGGCGCAAAGGTCTGAAAGAAGTCAACTCCCTCACGCTGACTGAACCCTCTAGCCACGTAGCGTGCCTTGAAGACTGGGGGAGATCCCGGCGGCCGCTTCACCTTGAAGATCCACATGCCGTCAACGATGTTCGCCCCTGGGGGGGGAACCTCGTCAACGTAAGTGCCTGTGGACCTGTAGGAGGCCATCTCTGCGTCCATGGCAGCTCTCCACTGAGAGGCCCAAGGCCCTGACACTGCCTCAGCGTAGGTGCGAGGAGTAGGTATGTCAGGAGCGTCGGGGTCTCCCTCAGGAGTGAGCAGCATGGCACAGAGATGAGGTGAAGCAGCTGCCAGGAACTCTAGCTCAAACTGTCTGTCCTCTAGGACGTCACAGCCAAGGGCAGAGTTGTCAAACATATGCTGCATATTGTCTAGGCTGTAGTGGGGTAGCCCATATGGGGTACAACCCAAATTAGGGTTTACTACTTGTACTCCTGCATGCTGCTAGTTCAACCATTCCTGCTGCTAGATTCTAACATGGTATCAGAGCACTAAGGTCCGTAGGACCGTTTTTTTTCGGGCCCACCTACCGCTGCAGATACCGCGCTACCCCACGTACCTGCCTGCCTTGCCTTGCCTTGTGACGTGCTGCACTATGCGCGCCGTCCAGCAGCCCTAGCGCTGCCTCCTGCTGCCCTAGGCCAGCGCGCTGCCCCTAGAGGCCCGTAAGGCCCGCGCGCCGCCCCTACACGCCCGTCAGGCCCGCAAACAGCCCCTGCAGACCGCTAAGCACGCTGCTGCCGCGCGCTACCCGCACCGAGCCGCGCGCAGCCCGCTGCAGCCGCGCGCAGCCCGCACCGAGCCCACGCAGCCCGCGCCGAGCCGCGCGCAGCCCGCTGCAGCCGCGCGCAGCCCGCACCGAGCCGCACGCAGTCCGCTGCAGCCGCGCGCAGCCCGCACCGAGCCGCGCGCAGCCCGCAGCTGCCGCGCGCAGCCCGCGCCGAGCCCACGCAGCCCGCGTCGAGCCGCGCGCGGCCTGCTACGGCCTCGCGAGGCCCGCGCGCGGCCCGCAGCAGCCCGCGCCGAGCCGCGCGCGGCCTGCTACTGCCTCGCGCGGCCCGCGCGCGGCCCGCAACAGCCCGCGCCGAGCCGCGCGCGGCCCGCTACTGCCTAGCGCGGCCTGCAGCAGCTCAGCGTGCTGTCAGCGCAGCCCGCGCCGAGCCGCGCGCGGCCCTCTGCCTCGGCCCCGACCTGCCGCTGATGCGGCCTCGCCCTGCAGCTGCCACGGCCCCGACCTGCCGCTGATGCGGCCCCGCCCTGCAGCTGCCACGGCCCCGACCTGCCGCTGACGCGGCCCCACCCTGCTACTGCCGCTGAAGCGGCCCCGCCCTGCAGCTGCTTCGGCCCTGCTCTGCAGCCGGTGTTGCGGCCCCGACGTCGCCGCTGTCGTGCGCCTACTCGGCCGCCGCCCGTCGAGCGCCGGCCCTGCTCGCCCGGTGAGCGCCTGCTCTCCCAGCCTTTGGTGAGCGCCTGCCTGCCTGCCTGACGGCCTGCCTGTCTGCCTGCCTGCCTGCCTGCCTGGCTGCCTGCCTGCCTGCCGGCCTGCCTGCCTGCCTGCCTGCGCGCCTGCCTGCCTGCCTGCCGGCCTGCCTGCCTGCCTGCCGGCCTGCCTGTCTGTCTGCCTGCCTGCCTGCCTGCCTGCCTGTCTGCCTGCCTGCCTGCCTGCCTGGCTGCCTGGCTGCCTGCCGGCCTGCCTGCCTGCCTGCCTGCCTGCTTGCCTGCCTTGCCCGCGCTACTGCTGCTGCTACTGCTACTGGCAGGTGGCCAGATGCAGCTCCAGCGACGTTCCCGCGAGCCTCTCACGCCCCAGCAGCTTAGTGAGTGGTATACTAGCTGGGGTTGTCGCGGTAGCCGTCGTAGCTGTCGCCCTGGAGCTGGTCAGTTGGGAGCGTCTGGCAGTAACCAGCTGCAGCTGCAGGGGCGTCCACGCGAGACACTTACGCCCCGGCAGCTCCAGGAGTGGTACGCTCAGTGTAGCAGGTCTACGCGTACAGTTCGCTGCCCGTACGTCATTCGCACAGGTGCTAGGACTGGTCAGCCTTGTGGGACGCTTGGTCACACACAGTCCCGCTGCTTCGCCCGTCTGAGCGACGACTGGCGCACAGTGTTTGGCGACGAGGCTGAGCTCCCCACCTGGCTGGAGCTGCATGGACAGAGGGTAGATATCTTTGCGCTTGACTATGATGCTATTCTCACTGCCATGTATGCATTGCCTACTAGTGCTGACCGTGCCTGTTACCTGTGCGTACCGCCTGACCCTGGTGAGGCTGCTGCTCTAGGTGCTAGTGCGTCTCCTGCTCTAGGTGCTGGTGCGGCTGCTGCTCTCGGTGCTAGTACGTCTACTGCTCTAGGTACTGGTGAGGCCGTGGCTTCAGGTGCTGGTGAGTCTGCTCTCTCTGGTACTGCGCCCACTGCGGTCTCGCACACCTTCACCCTTGACTCAGGAGCTTCCCGCTCCTTCTTTCGCGACTGCACCACACTCACGCCGCTTAGTCGGCCAGTTTCAATCTCCCTGGCGGACCCCTCCGGGGGTCCAGTCCTTGCCCACTACTCCACGGTTCTGCCGTGTCCGGCCGCCCCGTCCGGCTCGCTGTCAGGTCTTTACCTCTTCTCGTTCTCTACGAACTTGGTGAGTGGAGCTGACCTCCAGGATCACGGGGTTGACCAGTTCACTCCTGCGAGTCAGCGAGTGACTCACTGTACGTGTGCTAGGATGGGCCGGCACTTGGCCACGTTCACCCGTGCACCTGGCTCGAGTCTGTACACACTGACCACTGAGTCCCCTCAGGTAGCTGCGTCCGCGTCTACGTCTGGTCA